TTGAATTTTGTGATCCTGCCTTAGTTTTAACTATCTGTTGTTATGTCAGCTGCTATCCCTCTTCCCTCACAAGGCAATAGAGTTGAGATGCACCAGTAGAACAACTAGAAACAACCAAGTCTCTGGGATTTGAGATTTGATCACGTCCCAGGGTTAAAGATAACTACATGCCTAGGAAGATTCATGAATGGCTATACTACTCTTGCATTTATGCACTAGTGATAGCCATGTTAAGTTTTCTCTTTTTTCTTTCAAACTTTACTTTGTATATTGTTTTTGTATTTCAAGAACTTTGCTTTAGATGTTTGTGCTACTTTTTAAGAAGAATTTGTGCCATCTATCAGTGCATATTGATTTTACAAGATGAATTTCTAAATGTATTATGTATTAATTGTCACATTTTATTATTCTTTTTGATGGCTTAGAACTTTGAAGATGTTTCAGTTGTAAAGTTTTGAAGCATTCAGAATTGAGAGTCTTAGCTACCACCACTTTTAAGTACAGTCTGGCATTCTTGAAAGCTGTTGTTACCTTTGCCCCCTGTATGTGCCATTATCTGATATTAGGAAATTGTCCCACACAAATCCCATAGAGAATAACAATGCGATGCTCCAGACCTTGTTGTTGTTGTTTTGAAGACAGAGTTTCACTTTGTTGCCCTCAGTAAAATGCTGTGGTGTCATAGCTTATAGCAACCTCAAACTCTTGGGCTCAAGCAATCTTCTTGCCTGAGCCTTCCAAGTAGCTAGGACTATAGGCACCCACCACGATGTCTGGCTATTTTTAGTAGAAATGGGGTCTCGCTTTTGCTCAGGCTGGTCTCACATCTGAGCTCTAGCAGTTCGCCTGCCTTAGCCTCCTAGAGTGCTGGGATTACAGGTGTGAGCCTGCTCACCCGGCTCTAGCACTAGACATTTGAAAGCACATTTAGAATGAAGTTCAATTTGAGAAATTGCTTTAGGAGTAGATTGGAACATTTTAGTAAAATATACCCAACAACTTTCAACGATTATGGCCTCAACATTTAGTCCTGTTTTCTTTGTTAAATTGTTAAGGTAAATGAGAATTTTTTGTGTTTTCCACTTTGATTTGGAAAGTGGGGGAGGAAAGGTTTCTATTTGAAGCAACTCTTTTTTTTTTTGTTGTTTGTTTTCTTAACATTTTAGATCCTAAGGCTCCGGTCTTTAGCTGTAACTCTTAACAGCATTGTCAGACATTTGGGACCTTATCCTAGGTATCTAGAGACCACGTCTGGTTCAGTCCTTTCCTCTATAGGCCTGGGAACTGAGGCCCAGAGAATTTTTTGTGTGCCCTAGTTCATTGCTTCTCATATTTTCTGTGGTAGAGAATCCGTGTTTTTTTTTTTTTTTTTTACCCAGTGCATGACAGACCAATAATTTGTACAACATAAATAAAATGAAGTACTGGAAAAGGTAATTTTAAAATGACAGGGATAGTTTTAAATGCTTACCCTCAATTTCTGTGTCTATCTCAGTGTGGATGAATTACAAAGAGTTCTGGAATCAGAACTTTGTATACCGTCTTTGTATAGTATAGACCACACGTGTATAGCACTGCCTAAGGTTAGGGTTCAGCAAATTATAGCCCACAGGCCAAAACTAGCCTAACTCCTGTTTTTATATGGCAAGCTAAGAATTGTTTTTATAATTTTAATGGTGTTTTTGAAATCAAAAAAGAATCATATTTTGTGACATGAAAATTATATAAAATTTAAATTACAAAGTCCTTAAGATTTTATTGGAACATAGCTGTGCTGTACTGTCTGTGGCTGCTTTTGCACTATAGCACTATAATCCAGGCAGGGATAAGTGCTACTAGTTGACCACTGAATAACGTGGAGGGTTGGTGTCACTAACCCTTTGCCTAGTCCAAAATCCACATATTTTTTTTCTTTTTTTGGAGACAGAATCTCATTCAGTCACCCTGGGTAGAGTGCCAAGACATCATCATAGCTCACAGCAACCCCAAATTCTTGGGCTCAAGTGGTCCTCTTTCCTCCCAAGTAGATGGGGTCATAGGTGTGCAACTCCATACCAGGCTAGTTTTTCTGTTTTTAGTAGAGACGGGGGTCTCACTCTTGCTCAGACTGGTCTTAAACTCTTGACCTCAAGTAATCTACTCTCTTGGTCTCCCAGAGTGCTAGAATTACAGGCGTGAGCCACCATGCTCAGTCCACATGTCACTTTTGACTTTCCCTACTGTTGACTAGCCTACTGTTGACTAGAGGTCTTACCAACAACATAAATAGTGCATCACGTATTTTGCATGTTATATACTATATTCTTACAGTAAGGTGAGTTGGAGAAAAGATTATTAAGAAAATCATAAGGAAGAAAAATATATATACCGTTCATTAAGTGGAAGAGAATCATTGTAAAGGTCTTCATCCTTGTCATCTTGAGTAGGCTGAAGAGGAGGAGGAAGAGGAAGGGTTGTTTTTGGCTGTCTCAGAGGTGGCAGAGACAGGCACACTTTGTGTAACTTTTACTGCGAAAACTCCACATACACATGGGCCCACGCAGTTCAAACCTATGCTGTTCAAAGGTCAACTTTGGTTGAGACAGAGGCCATATAATCCACAAAGCCTACAATATGACCTGGCCCTTTACAGAAAAAGTTGGCTGACCTTTACTCTAGAACAAAGCATGGAATTAGTGGTTATTGGTAGAGCTGAAAGTACTAACGGGGTCTGCATTTTAAACTGCCCTTTAAATGTTATCACTAGCTGGTGGGGAATGGTCAGGCTGCCTGCTCAGCACCTTTGCTTACTTGTTATAATTTAATCTTCCTATCAATCTTGTAACCTTTTATAAAAAAAATTAGGTAAGTTTAGACTCCTGCAGGTCTAATTGCAGACACCTTCTAACAATCTTACGTTTACTGAGTTTTTTTTTTTGTTTCAATGGTTAAATATTTTCAAATAGAGCTTTCTGCTCCGCCTGTGGTTGAGAAGTTCAGCTGTTTCTGTCCTGTTTCTGTGTTACTCTGCAACAAATATGTTTGTGTGTCCAGTGAAAGTGAGATGTGACCCCAACATGCTTTAGAATACAAATTTCCAGTAAAAAGTTTACTACCTTTGATGTCACCTAAGACAAAATTGCAACTAAACTGTAATGGCAGATTTCAATTGCAAAATAGAAAAATATAATGGGTAAAATACTGACTGCAAGAAGGATTGAGATTTTAGGTAGATTTTAGAGGAATAGTCAGGCTTTTAGTTACGTTGCCTCATCACTCATTAAAAACTACAAAACATGAAAGGTCCCATCATGTAATTGTCAAATTCAGATAAATAAAAACATTCCGTTACTTCTTACTGGTCCTGAAGTTCCTGAAGTATGCAATTAAAAAGGCAGTGCCTGTCCCATATACTGAAGGTGGTGGGTTTGAACCTGGCCTTGGCCAAACTGCAACAACAACAAAACAATAGCTGGGCACTGTGGCGGGCTCCTGTAGTCCCAGCTACTTAGGAGGCTGAGGCAAGAGAATCGCCCAGCCCAGTTGTTGGAGGTTGCTGTCTGTGAGCTGTGTGATGCCACGGCACTCCACTGAGGGCCACAAAATGAGACTCTGTCTCTACAAAAAAAAAAAAAAAAAAAGCTTTGCTTTCCTTGGGAGCCTTTATTTCTTTTGTTTTCCTCCCCTCTGCATGCGATCTACCAGCAACTAAATAAAGATAGTTGATTTGATATGTGAGTCTGCCTTATGATAAAAACCCTTTACAAGCCACATTTCTTCCTGGAATGAAAAAAAAAAAGTCTTTGTACGATCTCACTGCATCCTCTCAAGCCATAGCTAGTTTTTATTATCCCAAGGCTGAAACTACCCAAGATCTAAAGAGTCACAAACACGCACCTTCCTAGCAGCTGTGTCCTAATTCTGTTTAAGGCTATTGTTTGTTCATTATAACGAAGCCATTGATTTCGTGGCTTCCATATTAAAGGAAGAGAAAGAACTTTGTAAACAGCAGGGCTTATTCTTTATATATATGAGACTTGCCTTGCAAATATTTCTAAAAAATTATGTGCTTTTGTCTGGAACTATTAATGAAAATTTGGAGATCAGTGGCTCATAATTTGTAATTGAATTATATTTATTTCAACAACTTTTTAATGTGTTTATTAGTTTGTTATTTGGGTAGGATTATAGCAACAATCTCTTCCCCTCACGTTGCTCACCACTACACACTGGATCTAGCTGAGGAATATTTGGGGTTAACATTGTATTTGGATTTTATTTAGACAGTGATTCTATTTGTAGGAGCCTCCATGTTTAAGAATTCTCCGTGGCTACTTTTTTTTACCCAGGACAGCATGTGTTAAATTCATTCCTTAGCATATATGATAGTGACTGAGTTTCTGTTTCTAAAAATTTTTGATGGAAAGAATTACTGTAGAAGGTAGTTCTTCCTTGTGGCTTCACTCCGGGAGACCAGAGTCGCATGCATTACTGTCTGCTAAACTTCTTGGCAGCCAGCCAGTATGTTATGGTGAGTTTCATAGGTAGGTGGTGAGCCACTAAAAGGCTTGCACAGTATTACAACTACTCTAAGGGGAGGAAGCACTTGGAAATTCAGCAGTAAAGCAGCAGCAGCAACAAGCACCCACACGGTAGTAAAGCCAGGGCAGGTTCGCGGTTAGCGTATTTCACAGTGGGAGCACAGAGCTTCCCATCCTGCTGCCTGAAGGAGGCAAACCCAAACTGTGCATTGCCAGGGTTTTCTAGTGTCATGTTTATGCCGTTGAGTCATGTGACAGCATTGTACCCTAAGTTGCCAACTCCGCTTTACTCTAGAGGGACCCTTTGCTGCAGAGCTCTCCTCTTTCTTTTTCTTCCTTTCTTTTCATCTTTATTTTTTCTTGAAAGAGAAAAAAACTGTGCAATGTATGTTTATGCCTACACCATGCCGAGGCGACCCTTAGCAGTAAATAACCTCTGTATCCCCGAGGTAAGATACTGTTTCTGCTTTCCCTGCACAGTGCTGCTGCAGCACGGAGCTGATCCCAACATCCGGAACACCGATGGGAAATCAGCCCTGGACCTGGCAGATCCCTCAGCAAAAGCTGTCCTCACAGGTAAGAAGACAGAGCTGCCGAATTGTTTTAGCTGTGCGACTCCTGGCTTGATTTTCTAAGATTTTTAGGTGCTGAGTTTTTCTTGCCACTGATGAAGCTAAACAAATAAATATGCCACTGTCTACTACTTTATTCATTTGCTGCCTGTGTCATTCACTGCTACGCTATCACAAGCACAAGCAGCGAGATTGCTTATTCTCCTTACGGCAGCATTCAGTTAGAACATGTGTCATTCACTCAGATTTTAGTCATTTCATGGTTTAGATCATCATTTTTCTGCACATCCTCTCAGTTGTTTGCTTTTAAGACCTTTAACTGTTGAGCAAGCCAGGGCGTTTGTATTGCTGTAAAAGTAGTTGTGATCGGAAAGACAACCTGCTGCCTTATTCCTTGGATGGGTAATTAAATAAAATTCACTGCTGCTTCTCCCTCGCTGCCCGTTTATCCTTTCATCGTATGTTTCCCTTTTGCCTTGATAGCCGAGGTATTTTTAACTGAGGCATGGATTCTCTTTTTACTTCAGTTAAAGTTAATGTGTGGCTTCTGTATGAATTTTGCTAAAGCAAAAGCCCAGAGCCAGCAGACAGGGAATGCTAGACTAGAAAGGATCTCTCATAACAATGTACAAAATAATGCTCTCGGTTACATGATCTCGAGCGACTGTGTGCATTGATCTTCATTCTCCAAATGCTGCATTGGATCTATTTTTGTTTTTATTCTCGGCATCGGAATCCTGCTGCCCTTGCCCTCTTTTACTTAACTGCCCTTTGTAATTTGGAGCTTCAGTCACTGCAGTGCTAGCAGTATTGTTTCAGGTTGTGTGAAATTAAATGACTTTTAACTACCTTTTCAATTTGCCTCTGGGTTTGAAGAAAATTAATCTTTTGTTCTTGTTTAAGTTCAGAATCCATGCTGTGCATTTTTAGCAAAGATATTGAAGTGAATGGAAAACATTTCTGTACAGAAACCTTTCAAAATGTATGGAATTTTGCTTAATTACTCTGCAAAGAAAGATAACCTCCCACTGTGCTAAAATTAATATAATTACTGCTAAATCAGAGTGGTATGATTTCTCTCAATTAATGAAAGGTTAGTATATTCAGTTGCTGAATCAAGATAACAAACACTAGAGAAATAAAGCTATTTACTTCCGTGTACATTAGAAGAAATTTAATATAAATATACAGTTTTAAATAATGAAATTAAAATACATAGCTCAGGCCTGATTAGCCTGCAGTGTTTCAGTGTCTTAGCAGAGCCCTGGGCAACAGCCGCAGCTTTACAGCGGTCTCTGACCAATGGAGAAATACAGCGCCCAGAAACAGTGTTGTAAGTGCTGAGCAAGGCTGCCTCTGTATCTCAGCGTCCTCCCCCTGACCTTTCTTCCCCTCTAACGCTCAGCACCTGCCTTGTCCATTTGTTACGCTGCTTTTAGATCCACTTTCACTTCTCTAAAAGAAAAAGTTTAAATACCAGTCACTAACATCTCCTGATTTGTAATAAATTTCAGAGGAGATGATATTAGATGCTATTAGTTTGGAAAAGAACTTTGGCAAAATCGTTCATGGAGGCTGAGGATTCCGGGAGGACAGATACAGTATCTATTAAACTTGATTTGTAAGCTATCTCGCACTGTACTTTGCTTAGATCGGAAGATAATAAGTTCTTCTTGGTCATAATGCTGATTTCATTAATTTTCTTTTCACGAATATCTACTTTTTTGGAAATGACATACAACTTCTCAGATATGATTTAAAAGAAAATCAAACCTAGATAGTGGTTAATTTTGTTGAAAATATAACCTACTTGTACTTCTACGTATCTATTCATATTATATAATGCAGTGAAATAATACTTAAGTGGAATGTATTCAGAAGGTATTTCTGCCCATAAAGGTTATCTACTAAGCAATTCTTTTCAATGAAATTATGATGCAAGTATTATTTCCAAAGTTAAGGTTAAAATATTGAGCATTGATTTTCAAAAGATATCTTTTAAAAAGAATGTCTTAATTTAGAGTTATTAGAGATTATTTTGAGTGATGTGACATTTTTATTCCAGACGCAATTGTACTGTTACTTACCTTGTCAGTGAAGTTTTTGTTCTTAAATATTTTCTCTTGGGAGTTTACTTGCTGAACATCTCCTTTGCAATATCCCATCTTTTTATGGTGCTACTTCTGTGCATTAGCCAAAATTATGTCCTAGTATTTATGTGTCTTCCTTAGAGGAAATTAACAGAATGACAATCACGTCTATAGAATATATAAAAATATGTAGCTAATACGCTCTTATACATAAAGAATGCTGGGTTTTTTATAAAATTGTACAAAGCAAGAATATGTCCTTAGTTTTACAGTGAAGAGACCCAGAGTCCATAGCCATTTGCTCTGGATAGTGCACTTGGGTGCTTAAAATGCGTAGACTCCTCAGACTCTACTGAGTCATTGTGTGAGTGAATGATCCATTTAGAAGAAATATTGAGGTGGGGGGGGGGTTTCATGTTTTTTGGTTTTGTGTTTTGCTAATGACTCAAATTCTTGGCAGTCAACTAAAGGACTTGGAGATATTTGGGGGTTTTGTCTATTTGGTGTTTTTAAGAAACAAGGTTATGAAAAACCTAAAACAGCTTATGTAAATTTTATTGAAGAGGAGTTTTACTGTGTTGTGATTATAAATTTTTTTTATCACAAGAGGCTTTATTATAAAAGGGAGGAGGAAAATTATAAATGTTTTAAAATAACATTTTATCCTTTTTCTCTGACTATTAAAAATGCATTCATTTGGAAATTGAGGAAATAGAAAAAGCATGAAAAAGAAAACACATCATTAGTGATTTTACTTACTCCTGATAACATTTTGATGTACTTTATTTTAACTCTTTTTTCTGAGTACATACATTCTATACTCTTCTCTCTCTTTAACGTATCGGTTAATTATATAAATGTATACACACATATATATGTTTAATTTAGTTACATGAGTGTTCCCAGAAGGTACGAAGCATAGTTCTGCAACATTAGCCTATAATGACTTTATAGTAATATCCTTCCAGAGGTCTATTTTAGTTTTTTGAGTGAATTCCCTAGTGTTTAACATTAAGGTAGGTTGTTTTCAGGCTTTATTATTCTTTGTGAATTGAGAGTCATTTTATCTATTCTGTTAGAATGGCGCTTTTTACCAGATTCAGTCTTAGCATCCACTAACATGATGGCATCTCTATTCTCAACTTTGAAGATTATGAGAGTTTGGAGAATAAGGCTCTTCTCTCCTGAAAGGCTGTCCTGCGTGTCATATTGTTACTGGACAGCCGCTACATTTAAGTTAAAGGTAGTTGACGAAGGGAATGTTCATTGACGAGGGCTAGGATGTAGGGTGTTTATTAGTCATGTAAAGGAGATTCTCAGGGACACAGTGGAGTGGGAGGGTGGAGAGGAGCAGTGAGAAGTTGAGTCCAGAAAAGAGGCAAGAGCACATTGAGACTAAGAGTCTGGAAAAGGGCAGATGACCAAAGGAATGTTTATCATTGGCAGGACCGAGGATGATGGAGGTATAAATAGATGAGTTTAGATGGTCACAGAATTGCTAAGATAATTGGTCTTAGTGCCATCCTAATAGATTTAGGGGTGAGGGAATGGGGAAGAAGAATATATTTTCACTAAGGTACCTCAAGAATAAATAAGCTTTAACCTGAATTCACTGTGCTTCTGAGGAAATCATAGGTTAGTATGATTGATGGCAGCCTCCCAGTCTGTCCAGAAGGAATCAGCTATGGCTCAGGCGAGGCGGCAATATGGAGGAGGAGTCTGGTGGATTCTTGTTGGGACTGGATTGGTAAGTCAGCAAAATAGATCTGGAATCCTAGCCCCTCTTTTCTATTCCACTGCTTCCTACTGCTTTTCAGATGAGACCAAGGTGTTTAGCACGATCAGGAGAACTGAAATGATCCAGGCCCTGCCTACCTGGGTTTGACTTCTAGGTTTGTCAGGCCAAAATTCAGGATTTCTTTCCTTTCCTCACAACTAGTATCCAACTTAACAAAAATTCAGGTTCACCATTCCTTCTGATCCCCAGTCTGACCATTTCTCCCCACCTTCACGCGTTAGCTGGGTCATGCCTTTAACCTCTCTTCCTGCCGTGACAGCAGTAGCCACATCAGGCGTCTCTCTGCCTCTGCTTTAACCTCAGCCACTTCTGCTCACTGTGTATAGTTGGAGGGGACTTTCTAAGGCAGCTCCATGATCAGACAGTTCTTTACTATATTCCCCTTTATTACTCTGGAATAAAATCCAAATTCTTTAACCATGGCCTGTCATGATTAGGCTCCTGCCTTGCAACTCTCTGGGACTGTCTTCTCCCTTGGTCTCTGCTGCAGCTGCAGCTGGCTGCTTGCTGTCCCTCAGTGCAGCCTTTTTCTGTTTCTGTGCTCATACGTCCTGTTTACTAAAACTGGAACACTCCCCACAACTTCCTCAGAGATGCTTCCTTGTCCCCAGTCCTCTGAGATTACTTTATTTTCGTCATGGATTTATTGATACCTGAAATTGCGTTTTTTGTTGCTGTTTGCCCCAGTAGAAGGGAAGCTTTATAAAAGTTTTGACTTTGGTCTGTCTTGTTCACTTCTTTATCCTTAGAAGATTAAAATGATAGAATGGGCTGGGCGCCCATAGCTCAGTGGTTAGGGTGCCGGCTACATGCGCTGAGGCTGGTGGGTTTGAACCTGACCTGGGCCTGCTAAACAAATAAACAAACAAATGAAATAGTCAGGCATTGTGGCAAGTGCCTGAAATTCCAGCTACTGGGGAGGCTGAGGCAAGAGAATCTCTTGAGACCAAGAGTTTGAGGTTGTTGTGAGCTATGATGCCATGGTACTCTACTGAGGGTGACAAAGTGAGAATCTGTCTCAATAAAAAGAAAAAAATGATAAAATGATTAAATGAACAAATACATCTAAGGTCTGATTACTGGTAACTAAGGACAACATAGTTTCCAGGTTGTACA